CTGTGTGAGAGAAGGTGTGTGTTAGGTCATTTGTGAGCTTCTGTGCACAGGGAGCTGGCATTGAGAGTTTAAATGCGATGGGCATTGATGGAAGATGTGATTTATTTGCATTGTCTCATTTAATACTGTTACGATATGAAGTGTCCCTTCAAAAAGCTCATGTACTGAATGAAGTCTTGTTCTCCAGCTGCTGCTGCTATTTGGGAAGACTATAGACACTTTATGGTGATGGACATAGCAGAAGAACTGCGTCACTGAGGCATCCCCTTGGGGGCTGTTTATTCTCATGCCCACCCCGTTCTCACTGGCCACCATGAGTTTTGTTCTTCTGTGTCTTTCCTGCCATCATGCTGTGCCTCACCACGCCCCCCCCCAATTAGCTAATTGATCATACACCAAGGAGCTGAGCCAAAATATATCCTTTCTCCTCTAAATTGCCAACATCAGATGTTTGCCACAGCCATGAAGGTCTACCATAAATATCATCTCTAGTATTTCTATGGCTCTTTGCCGTTCTAAAAGTCCCTCGTGACTCAATTTGATTCCTATAGCACTCCTATAAGGTAATAAGGGAAGGTATAAGCATTCCTGATATGCTTCAATTTTGGGTCAGATAAATCAACACCTGTGGATAGTTTAAAGTTTCCCAAGATAACACAGGTCATTAGAGGTAGGAGTAAGACATAAACAGAAGTGAGTTCTAGTTACAAATTGGCCTACCATGCATTTTATTCTTCATATTATTTTATTCATATGTGTAAGTGAACATAATCCAATAATTATAACATAGAACAAACTATGGATTAATATATAAACTTTACTTTTCACATGTTAAACCTTCATTTCAATTAATACTGATTGTTTCTTTCTAAAATGTTGTTCCTTTCTTGGCCTTGTAACAATGTCTATCATAATCATGCTTGAATATATATTATGGACACTTGATATATTTAGTTGGAACCAAACTGAGTTTGTATCAGAGTCTTTACTTAAATAAATGACCCATATATTTTGCAGTATTTTATGAACTATAACTTATAATCAAATGGATTCCAACTTTTAATTATTTCACATGTTATTTTCATAAATATAGCAAGCATTCTTACATTAAGTGTCAGGCACTAGGCTAGGTACTAAGGATGCATAGATAAATAATATCTGTGTGCTGCTTTGAGTGGTTAGCCATTGGCTTGCAGTTCATTTTAATACAGGGTCATTAGCACTACACACAGAAAGTCTAGAACTGGAAGAGAGAATGATGTAATTGTTAGTAAATTTTGTTTTTGCATATATAGGCAGGAGAAGGTTAAAGTGAATGATTTTGCCAAGTGCAAGGATTGTGTTAAATCTAAAAGTCCTCAGATGGAGCCTACTCATAACATAAGCGTATTAGGTTAATAAATCTAGACAAACTTTAGTATTCAATTAGAAAATGCTCATTATGAGAATAAACAAAAAATTGTGACCCACAGAAAAGAGGAAGCCATCTGTATAGAAGAACCTTTATATGATGTATGTTAGCATTCAGAAATATTAAAACATTAAGCATGTATAGATTCAAGGACATATGGGAATATTTACCTATAGTGAGTGAACAGTCGTGGAATTTCAGTCAAAAAAGTCTAGACTTATGTTCTTTGTTGTGAGCCTAGCTTTTAACGGCTGAGTCATCTTTGTATAGCTTGATCTCTGCCTAAGGGGCCCCTGGCTGTAGGATCAGGATCCATCCCTGATGCATGATCTGGCTTTTTGGAGTCTATTACCTATGGTGGGACATCTTGTACAGCCTTTTTATTAAGAATTATTTTATTCATTTTACCTACCAATCACAGGCTCCCCTCTCTTCCCTCCTGCCGCCTCCCCGAGTTTTCCCCTCCAACCCACTCCCCATCCCCTTCTCTGAAAAGATAAGGCCTCCCATGGGGAGTCAGCAGAGCCTGGTACATTCAGTAGAGGCAGGTCCAACCCCCTTCCCCTGCATCAAGGATGTGCAAGGTGTCCCATAGGTAATTGACTCCAAAGAAACCAGCTCATGCACCAGGGATGGATCCTGATCCTATTGCCAGGGAGCCTTGTAAGCAGATCAAGCTACACAACTGTCTCACTTAGGCAGAGGGCCTAGTCCAGTCCCATGGAGGCTCCACAACTATTGGTCTAAATTTCATGAGTTCCCACAAGGTTGGTTTGGTTGTCTCTGTAGGTTTCCCCATCATTATCTTGATGCCCCTTGCTCATAGAATCCCTCTTCCCTCTCTTCGACTGGCCTCCTGGAGTGTGGCCTGGTTCTTGCCTGTGATCTCTGCATTTGCTTCCATTAGTTACTGGATGAAGGCTCTATGATGATAGCTAGGGTATTCTGATCTGATTACCGGCATAAGCTATCTCAGGCACCCTCTCCACTATTGCTAGTAGTCTAAGACTGGGTCATTCTTGGGGCTTCCTCGGAACTTCCCTAGCACCAGGTTTCTCCCTATCTCCATGATGTCTCCCTCTATCAAGGAATCAATCTACCTTAAGACCCAATGATAGCACGCTTGGGCATATACCCAAAGAATACTCAATTATACCACAAGGACACTTGCTTAACTATGTTCACAGCAGCATTATTCATAATAGTCAGAACCTGGAAACAACCTAGATGCCCCTCAACGGAAGAATGGATAAAGAAAATATGGTACATATATACAATGGAGTACTACTCAGCAGTAAAAACAATGACATCATGAAATTTGCCGGCAAATGGATGGAACTAGAAAATATCCTGAGTGAAGTAACCCAGACTCAGAAAGACAAACCTGGTATGTACTCACTCATAAGTGGATACTAGATGTAAAGCAAAGGATAACCAGACTAAAACCCATAGCTTCAGAGAAGGAGGACTCTAAGAGGGATGCATGCATCACCCTGGGAAGGAGAAATAGATAAGATCTCCATGAGTAAACTGAGGGCGACGGGGGAGGGGGGGAGAGGAATAGAGGATAGGGGATGGGGGATAAGAACATAAGGGAACTGGATGGTGGAGTTGGAACAAGGATGGAGTGGAGGAGCAATGAAAAAATTTCTTAATAAAGACAAAAAAAGAAATCTAGACTTGAAAATTAAAGTATGTGAAATGAAAAATTTGCTAATCTACTTAACCACTTGATAACATTGTGGAATAGAGTCAAGAAACTTGAAAATAAATAAAAAATATTAAATCTGAAGAACAGAGAAAAATGGGTGAAAAAAGATCAGTCTTAGTGATTTGGGCAACAAAAAATAATCTAACACCCATACACTCGGACTCTCAAGGAGAAAGGATAGAGTGCACCATAGAAGCATTGAAGGACACATTGGCTAAAATTTACTCAAATTAGTTAAAAACATAACCTTTTAAACCCAAGAATCTCAGCGAATCCTAAGCAAGAAAAATAAAAAGAATATCAAATTTATGTTTATCTGAATCTAAAATTTAATACCTAGGTCAGTGAGATGGTTCAGCAGGTAAAGACACTTGCTGTCAAGCAAGACCACCTGATCTCAGGTGTCTGGAACTTACATGATGGAAAGACAGGACTGATACATACAAGTTGTTCTAGGACTCCATAGGCATGCTCCCTCCTACACCACACACACACATACACACACACACACACACACACACACAATTAATAAATGTAAAAAAATAATTTAAAACCTAAGATGAAGAACCTTAAATCTCACAAAGACTTAAATGGCACATTGTATATCATGCAACGAGAGTAATTTAACTAATGATAAATAATGGAACACAGAAAACAATGGAATGATAATTTGAGTTAGACCAGACATTTGTATTCAGGAAATAATATCACCAACAATGAAAGCAAAGTAAACACACTTCCAGAGACGTGAAAAGGGAGAAAGCATATGCTTTACTAGAAACAATAAAGGAAGTTTCTTGGGCTGAAAAGAAAATGACACCAGATTCAAACTTTCGATTTACAGAAAGAAATGAAGATGATGGGAAGTGATAGCTATGTGGGTAAATACAAAAAGATATCTTTTAACTCTCTCGATTGTTTGAAAGCACAATCATATAACATATTATAGCATGCTACTGCAAGCTTTATAATGCATGCGGATGTGTTGTGAGAGGCTTTGTCTAACAAGAAGTGATGCAATTGTAACACCAGGAAAGACTGTTAGGAGTTGTGAAGACATGTGTTAATCCATGGAGCAGCAGCAAGAAGCAAGAGGCCGGCATCTCTAGAGCAGAGATGCAGTAGCCTTAGTATATAGCCTTAGGTCCTTTGTGGGAGCTGAGGTAAAGATTTACAGTGTGTGCTTGAATCAGTGAGGTTGGATACTCCCTCAAGGACACTTGGCCTTTCTTTTGCTACAGAGGCTTAGAGTCTGCAAATTACTTTAAGTCTTGAAACAAACTGAGAAACTTCAGTACACCACTGAACTGACTATGTCAGATAATAAATAGGAGTCATTTAATGTATGATATATTCTTTGTTAATTGGTTGAAAGACCTACTCTATGGTTATTTTTCTAGTTCCTGCTCATACAATGAGGACATACATATCTAGTAGCTGGAAGGACAGTCAAGGTGTGTCCTGATCCATAGGAGGTAGACCAATGACCAGAGCATTGAGGGAAAGCCTCAGTGCATTGTATGGTAGAAAAATGGAAATTTGTCATTCTAAGAGAACTTGATAAAAACCTGTACTTGGAACTTTGCCAGAAAGCTATTTGGGATAAGGTATGTTCTGGCGGCAGTCTGTTACAGAAAGAGATGCTGAGAATGGAAGCTATTTATTGCTATATTCTCTGGGGTGCTACTGAATCTGTGCACACTGTAGGAATCTGCTGCCAGTGAAGCCAGTTCATGCTAGAAAACCTGCCATGTGGCTCACTCTGAAACTAGGAAGGGAAGTCCCTCTCTCCTGCAGTGTCTCTGCGATGCTCAGTGGTGACATGCTAACACTGCACCAGTGGTGGAAAAAGCACAGCTCCATTTTTTTTTCCTACAGAGTAAATGATGAAAGGAAATTTGAAGTTGCAGCATAATCAAGTGATAATACCCAAAGAAAGGTGCAATGTCAAGTAAGTCAATTATATTCTTTTGCTCTCGGTCAAGGAAGCAACACTATTACTTCCTCTTTCAAAACAGATTTTTAATGGGAAAATAAACGAATCAACTATTATCAGATTTTGTACAATAGGCAGTATCATGCAAGTTATGAAGGAAAGTATGGTGAGGGGGAAGGTAGCTGCACAAAATAAGAGCTTTAGAAAAACAGAAGCATCTCCCTCCCTGGTCCTTCACAGAATACTGAAGTATGTATACCTCAGGGAAAATTATCTAAGGATGTCAGAGAGCAGCTATGGGAAATGTAAAATCAGAAAGAAATTCTCTATTGTAGACTTGGCTGAAGCGTAGAGATTAACTAAACACCCCCAAAATCCAACTGCGATGTCAGGGAAACCATACTTTGAGGGTATGGTGGCTTCAGCCCTAAAATCAAATCTAGTGATATTCCATATACAGTTTAGGAAGAAGTTACAAGGGTCAAAGTGACCAACAAGTAACCCAAATTTATACTAGAACAAAGCTCAATACTCTTTAAAGATGAATACAAATCTAAACTATTCACCCATGAAATAAAACATCACTAGTCACTAACATCCTGTAGATATGAAAAAGCAAAAAAAAATGTTACCTAGCATCAAGAGAAACATTCAAAATAGAAGAGAGAAAAGATGGCTGAGTTAGTGGGCAAGGATGATAAAATAATTACACTCTTTCAAATATGCACACAGGTTAGAAGAAGACAGGGATGGGATGAGAAGATGAAAGGAAGATATAAAGGAACCAAATATAAAGTAATGTAGACATTTACAATGGAAAATATTCTGGATAAGATTAACAGTAGGCTAGAAGCTGCAGATGGAAAGGTCACTGAGCTTGAACATATACTAATAGAAATTACCCCAAAAAGAGGAAATATAAATAAGCCATTGAAAACTACACATAGGAGCTGAAGATGTGGCTTAGTTTGTAGAGTGATTGCTAGCATGCATGAAGCCCTGGATTCAATCCCCAGTACTGCATACATTGAGTGTGGTGTTGCACATCTGTAATCCAAGGACTAGGGAGGAGGAGGCAAGACAGTCAGGAGTTCAAAGTCATCCTTGGCTACATATAATAGCCTGCCTGGAAAACAACAAAACAAAAAAACAAGCACCCAAATACCCAAGACAATAAACTGGACTACTAATGGGAAGAAAATCAAACAATGTGATTTAAATAATCTCAGTAAAATATAACAAGAGGGGGCAGTTACAGGAACAATATTTTGGTAAGTAGTAGAACTCATAATTTAAAATGTGATAGAAATTATAAGCTAATTATATTAGTCTGTTTATTGTTACTGAAAAAAAGTACCTGAAACTGGTTGGTTTTAAACAAAAGAGTTTCATTTAATTCATGGTTCTAGAGGTCAGAGTGTATGGAGACAGTATCTGTTTGGTTTATGTGAAGACTTCATGGCAGGTGACATCACAGCATGGTGCCTGGAATCATGGGAGAAAGACATATGAGGAAGAGTGAAATTGCTTGTGAAAGAAGTTACAGGAGGCTGAGGAGCTGTCTTTTTTAAAACAACCTGTAGCAGGAACCTTAAAAGTTCTTATTAATAAAATCAAACCCAAGGCCAGTTATTGGGGTGAATGCTGGAAGGTCAGAGAAGCAGAACAAGCCACAGCTAACCTCACCTGGCCAACTTCTCAGCTGGTCTTGTTTCCTCAAACTGGAAGCTTCTGTATCCTCATCCCAACGGCTCTCAGCTGAACTGCTGCTCAAAAGCCTGAAGCTTAATCAGCCAAATGCTTCTAGTTTCTGGTCCTCACGCCTTATATACCTTTCTGCTTTTTACCACCACTCCCTGGGATTAAAGGCTCGCTTTCTGGGATTAAAGGCATGAGTCACCCTGCTTGGCTGTATCCTTGAACACATGGATTTCTGCCTCTGGAATGCTAGGATTAAAGGTGTGTGCTCCCACTGCCTATCCTAAGTATCTAGTGGCTTTTCTGTTCTCTGACCCCAAATAAGTTTATTAGGGTACACAATATTTTGAGGAACACACTACCACCACAACAACCCATTCTTGTGGACACTAATCCAGATGCATGAGATTTCATTAATCCCTTCCAAGGTTGGTATTCTATCATCTAATTACCTTCTACTAGATCTCACTTCTCCAAAGTTGTCTCTTTAGCTGTCATCCTCAAACACGAGGAACCAAACTTCCTGCATATGAACCCTCAAGGAGACCCTTCAATGATATCCAAACTATAGCACCCCAAGATGAAGTTCAGTGAAACACAAGCAAGATAAAAAACACAATTTCATTCTTACATTCCTATACCCCACACCATACAAGGGTATATCAAAATGATATTGACAAAACCAATAATGAGAAGAAAAACATCTTAAAAGCTTCCAGAGGAAAACCACAAATTGCTCAAGTTCTGGTTAGCTTTTACTGTCAATTTGACAAACCTTAAATTTACCCGGGAAGATAATCTCAGCTGAGGAACTGCCTGGATAAGACTGTTTTGTGGGCATGTCTGGAGAGATTGTCATGGTTATTAACTGATGTAGGAGGGACCAGTCCTCTACTGGCAGCACCAATCCCTAGGCAGGAGGTCCTAAACTATATAAGAATGATAGCTAGGCATGAGCCAGCCAGCCAGCATCCTTCTCCTCAATAGTTTCTTCTATACTTTTTTTTTTTTTTTGGCTGTGAGGTGAGTTCTTTGTTTTGGGTTAATGTGTGGTACAGCAAGCAGCCCTGCTGCTGTGTGACAAAACTCTTCCTGGGGAGAGACAACACACATCCCTACTCACTCCAGATAGGGATCCCGTGACAGAACAAACTATGGATACCACTAAAGTCCAACTTGGTGAATCAATGCATTTCATTGGAGTTATTTAAAGGAGCAGAAATGACTCAGAGACAGCTGCATCACCAAAGCCCACCCCAGCATGGGTGACAGTTCCCAAAGATGAGACTCTATAGAACACTGCAGAGCTGGCAGGCATCTTAACAGGTTAGAGAATGTCCTTTCCAACTGACTCAGCCCCACTAAATCTCTTCCAGGCAACTTGACTGGTTTCTGTTTTTTCCTGGCAGCTGGTCTGACCTCACGAGTCTTCTTTGCGGCTTGTCTTGTCTGTCTTCCTTGCAGCTTCGCTCCGTTAGCTGTAGAGGGACTCTCAGCTTTCATTGCTTACTCTGGCAGGGAGGGGACTAGTGGATCTGGTCAGTTTCAGGGACTTCCTGAAGCAATTTTGAGTTGTTTACCCTTCTGCTCAATGAGCTTCCCTGCAAGATGGAATGTTCCTATTGTAGAGGAAACTGTTACACAATACCAGCCTTGACTTCCCTTAGCCTAGAATTGTAAACCAAATAAACTCATTTTTTTCCCCCAAAGTTCCTTTTGGTCAAGGTATCTGTCACAGCAAAACAGAAATGAAACCAGAACAGTTTCCAAGAAATTATAAAAAGCAGTTAGACATCTTTTTTGAAGACAGTGACAATCAGAAGCAATGTCACAGTATCTTTAAAGTACTAAGTGATAACATCTGTATGCTTAGATTTTATATGCAGAAAAATGTTACTCACTTATGATTTTAAGCCCAGACTGAAAATTTATTACCCACACACCTGTACTATAATAAATATTAAAAGTCCTTCAAATAGGAGGACAGTAATACCAAATTGAAATGAGGATATATACAAATTCTGGTTGTCTAAATTAATCTCAAATACACTTTAAAATATTTCTACAGGGCCACCAGGATGGCTCAGCAAGCAAAGGCACTTGCAATCCCAACAACTCAAGCCTCATGACATGGTTTCAATCTGTAGAGCTCATGTAGAGAGGGAAGAAGTTGGGGCTGGAGAGGTGGTTCAGTGGTAAAGAAGACTGACTGCTCTTCTAGAGAACTTGGGTTTAATTTCTGAGAGGGCTGGGGAACCAGACCAGAGCCATCACAGGTTTCTAACAACCCTGCCAGGGACCAGGCCTTAGCTTCAGTTTACTGGAACTGGCTGGAGCTGAGCAAGCAGTTCTCAGGAAGACCACAACTCAGGTGCAACCAATCAGCACGTGCCCCACCCCCAGCCTTCTGCTGGCTCAGCAGTAGCCCCACAGCCTTTTGCTAGCTAAAGATAGCTTTTCCTACCCTGTAGGTGGATGGTCCCTAACCACTAGAGCCTACCACCAATCAGTCCCCAGACTAATTTTTTTCTCCACCAATTAGCACCAGAATAATCTCTCTTCCCTGGAATTCCCCTAACTCTGCTTAAAAGGAGCTTTCGACCTCTCTTCAGCGTCACTATTTGCCACCCCAACCTGTTGGAAATAATAACTGCTCTTGTTAAATTGCATATGTGACTGTTGGGCTTTCTTGGGGGCTTCTCTCAGATCCTATTTCCAGCATCCGTACGGCAGCTCACAATGATTTGTAACTTCAATCTCAGAGGATCTTATGCCTTCTTTTGACTTCTGTGGGCCCTGCACATAACACTCTATAGAGACGCATGCATACAAAACACCCACACATATAAAACGTAAATACGTAAATCTTTAAAAACTGAGTGACTCCACAAAGTTATCTGATGTCCACACAAATGCTGTGGAATGTTTAGTCAAACACATAGATTTCTCTCTCTATCAAACATAAAATATTAATTAATGAAAAATCATTTTAAATCTCCTTTAGAAAATATGTATTCGAGTTTAAGCCACACAGAATGAAGTGTAAGAAAAGAATGACAATATGAATAGGCAAGGGGATTGAACAGCCATTGTTGTAATCTGATGGCGTATGTGAGGTAGCATAATGCTTTTTAAAGGTGTGCTATGACACATTAAGAATGAGTATTACAAACTCCCGAGCAACCACTTAGAAGTAGAACAAAGAAGTACAGCTAATAAGCCAATGTTGGCTATGAGATAGAATCTTAAAACATAATTAATCCAAGTAAGGCAGGAAAAGGGAAAAATGGAACAAAGAAAAGGTGGGTAATACAGCTGAATAGCAAAGTGATAGATTAGGCCCAACTGTACTAATAATTAAGTCTAGTTAAAATAGTGAGATCGTCAGAATGAAACAAGACTATTGTACGCCTTCTTATATGAAGCATACTTTAAATGTATGTAAAAACATAGCTTAAATGTAAGATGGAATATTATATGCTGTGCAAATACTATTTTCAAGAGTACTATAGAAGATACACCAATGTCAGATTTGTTATATTTAACTAAAGGGATATTTTCCTTTAACTCAGACATAGGGGATATTTCATAGTGATGAAGGAGACAGTCCATATCAAGAAGATAGCATTCTAAATCAGGACACTTCTAGTAACGGAGCCTGAAAACAGCATACAAAAACACAGCAAAACTAAAATGAGGGTAGGGATATATATGAATGTTGATGATCTCAGTAGTTCTCTTGAATATATGTAACAAGTAGAGAGAAAAAGTAAAGATAGGAAAGATCTGAAGCACACCTTCTATCAAGACAGGACACTTGTGGTTGATATATTGTGCACCCCAATAAACTTACCTGGGGGTCAGAGAACAGAACAGTCACTATATTAAACACAGAGGTCAGGCAGTGGTAACACATGCCTTTAATCCTAGCCTTCTGGAGGCAGAGATCCATTCAGATCTCTGTGAATTCAAGGCTAAACTGGAAACAGCCAGGCATGGTGACACAGAAGTGATGACAGAAAGGTATATAAGGTGTGAGGACCAGAAACTACAGGCGTTTAGGCTTTTTAAGCTTTTAGGCTTTTAGCAGCAGTTCAGATGAGATCCATTCGGATGAAAACTCAGAGGCTTCCAGTTTGAGGAAACAGGATCGGCTGAGAAGCTGGCAAGGTGAGGTTAGCTGTGGCTTATTCTACTTCTCTGATCTTTCAGCATTCACCCCAATATCTGGCTCCTGAGTGTTTTTATTAATAAGACCTTTTAAGATTTGTGTTACAGACACTTGTCTAGCAAAAGAACATGCATTCGTTTCAAGTATCTGTAACATTTGCTGAGATGTGGGTATTAACTTATACTCTTTAGATAATGTGTGCTTGGATTGGAATACCCAAAGAAACCAGGAAGCTGGTAAGGAGACTATGGGGGAGACAGATTTCAAGAAAAAGGGGATCAAAAGTAGGTGGTACAAAGAAGGAGATGGATTAATGTAACAGGAAATATTAAGTGGTATGGGGGATGGGGTGCAGGGTAGAAAAAAGAGTAGGTGGTACAATTACTAATATTAATGATACTTGAAAAAGCCAACATTGAAACTACCTTAGAAGCTTCCTAAAAGATATACATATACAAATGGTATTTACATGGAGTTTCCCTAAAATGGGGGTGGGGGGACAGTGCCTTTCCAAGACAACACAGGCTATCAACAAAAAAGCCCACTGGAAAGTAGAGGGCTACTTTGTTTCTAGTTTTTGGCCAATGGGATTCCATTGACAACCCTTAAAACATTACAGGCTGCTGCCATTGCTCTGGTTACAGTCTAGAACTTGTAACTCCCTATTGCTGAAGATACCACACATTTGAGTCACAGAACATGGAGGAATCAAACTGATACCAACCTGGAAACTTCATCCCTACTAGCTAGTGCTGGAAGACTCTATGTATGCTACCAGGGAGGGATATAACCAACACTCTTATCCAGTTGTAAACCCTGAGAGCTAGAATGACTGACCTGCCCCTTCTGATTGGAGTTTGAGTTCTACAAGATAGAACTCATGTCTGTATGTTTAACTGGGCCCCAAAAGTATGGATTTACAGGACCCCACAGAAGAACCTGCTAAATGGACATAGCATTAAACTGACTCCTAATGACTTATCATTATACCCATAGGTTGGTGCATCTCTAACCCTCATCACAGATGCTTCTTTTTGCAGTAGATGATGATTAATACAGAGACCCAGAATTGGTCAACGTGCAGAGAACAGAGCAGTGCTTAGCTCTAAATACAACATCTACATCATATCCCTTTCCCCAAGACTTGGAGATGATTTGAAAGAAGAGGCAGAAAAATTGAGTAGAAGAACCAAGAGAGTGGATGTCTATAGCAAAACACTATTTGATGAACACAACAGCATGACTGTACACACAAACTCAATAATTTTGACTGCATCCACAAGACTGTCACCAGTTTAAGCCATACAAACATCTAGCGTGGATAGGGGGGGAACTCATGACATTCCACACCTAGCTGAGGAGCTACTGGCAACAGATGGCTGCTATGGGATGAAGAGTCATTTCTTCAGGGATGTGACCCTGAGAGGCTACTACCCATGCTTCAGAAGATGGTTAGACAACCATGCACATATAGACACAATTAAATGAATTAAAAAGAGCACATGAAGTTGGGATGGAAGACTAGAGGGAAGATAGGCAAGGAATTGGAAGGGAGGGATAGGAGGAGGATTTGTTCAAAACATAATCTGTGGAGAAATCCACAGATGTCTGAGAAGACTTATTTATTAAGGAAAAAATGGGGTTCACACTCACGAATACAGAACAAGAAACTGCTGTTCTGCCCAAGGATGATGGGGACCAACTGCACGCCACTCTCTGCTGGTTGATCTGGCTCTGAGCATCCAAGAGAGTGCGTGACCCCTCCTTGTAGCCAAACGTATTCCTGTGTCCTGGCTGGCCAGTGGTCAGGACACATCTCTCCCACTCACATCCTCCAAGTAAGCACACAGAGGCTTATATTAATTATAACTGCTTGGCCATTAGTTCAGGCTTAGTATTGACTAGCTGTCACACTTAAACTCATTTCTGTTAATCTATATGTCGCCACGTTTTCCGTGGCTTTACCTGTGTGTCTTTACATGCTGCTCCCTAGATGGTGGGCTGGTGTCTCCTGACTCAGGCTTCCTCTTCCCAGAATTCTCCTTGTCTGCTTATCCTGCCTATACTTCCTGCCTGTCTACTGGCCAATTGGTGTTTTATTAAACCAGTGTACAAAAGCATTATTCCACAGCACCTCCTCCTCCTCCACTCTGAAGTGGTCACTTACCCAGATGAGACCACACCCTAGGGCTTGTTACCCAAAGCCATTGGCTGAACGGATTGAATTCCCACAACAAAAACTCATAAGTGTGTTTGAAATTCTCAAATAAAAGATAGTCTTCCCCAGGGAAGAGCACACCAACTGACTATCCAATACTAAATGGTTAGTCCCAAAAACATACATACAAGTAACACACTATACACTGAGGTTGCACTTCAGCAATTATGAACATATGTTCATATATGTATGTAATGATAATTAATGAAAAAAGAGACCATAGCTTTAAAAGAGAGCATGGAGTATATATGGGAGGGTTTGAAGGGGAAAGGAATGGGATAATTATGTAATTATAATCTCAAATAGTAAAAGAGACAAATAACTAATAGAAAATAACTATATTACTACTAATAAAAACTAATAATAAATAATAAATAAAACAAATATACTTGAAAGGAGTTGTATGGCACAGTGTTTTCTAACATTGTAGAGAATTAAATTAGAAATCAATAATAAATGCACACAGAAATCCATGAATGTATAAATTAAACAATACCATTTACAGGTCAATGACAAGTCAAAAGAATAATTTGAACATGGCCTGGCAAGGAGGTTCATCAGACAAAGGCACCTGCTAGAACACCTCACTGTCTGAGTTTGGTCCCTGGGACCCACATGGTGGCAGAGGAGAAGAGACCCCTGTAAGTTGTCTTTTGACCTCCACAGTTGTGTGAGGTCATGTGCATGCCCACATACAACACATATGTGCATACAAGATAAATACAAGGTAATAAAGTGTTTAAAAAATGATAATTGGCACCTATCTTGAGCCAAATGAAAGTGAAAACATAAAATATAAAAAGTTGTATGTTAATGTATTTTTAGATGCAACTTTTAGAGCTTTAAACATTTACATCGTTAAAGAATGGCCAGTATTCAGTTATTTGAATTTTCATTTCAAAAGCAGCATAAATTAAAGCCAAATTAAATAGAAGAAAATAAACATTAAATATTTGAACTGAAGTCAGTGAATAGAAATCAAATAATGTCATTCTTCTCCTCTTGTTGAGGTACCATGTCCAACTTTGATATGATAGTTTTTGCTTCATCTTATTATATTATCATGTTTGGTTGTTATCTCTTAGAAGCCTGTTCTTTTCTGATGAGAGACAGAAAGGGAGTGGATCCTGAGGGAAGAAGAGGTGGGGAGGAACTGGGAGGAGTAGAGGGAGGGGAAACTATAATCAGGATATACTGTATGAGAACACAATATTTTCAATAAAAGAAAAAAATGAAGAAAAAAAGAAATCAAATAATGTCAATGTAACCAAATTATTCTCTCCTTGTCTCTATGTAGCTTTGACTAATATAGAAGTTGCCATTCTCTTGCCTTAGCTTTCTGGGTGGTGGATTACAGGTATGTGCCCTATATCTCACTTAATCAAAATATTTTCTAAACTAAATAAAGTTGATAACCTTTTAGCTAGCTAAACCAGGAAGGAAAGGAAAGACTAACTAAAGAAAGTATTGGAATGTAGATCCTGTCCATGTAAATGACTAGGAATATTATGAAAATCATGGTCAATAAATTTAGACACATATGAGATAGGTAAACTCTTTGAAGTCCTATGTGATCAAATTTAACTCAAGAAGAAACAGAAAAATCGGAATTACCAACTGTTATTAAATAAATTAAGTCAAATTAAATTTATTCAAACGAAATAAGACCAAGTCTTCACACACAATTTAATAATGAAAATTAAAGATCTCCTACAAGCATTGACAGAAAAGCTAGTAATAAAAATCAATATGGGGACTGTTGAGATGGCTTAATGGACACGAGTGCTTGCTGTGAAAACAAGAAGACTTGAGTTCAAAGCCCCAGTACCCAGCACAAAGGTCAGGCAGTGCTACATGTGCCTGTAATTCAAGTTGAGAAGAGGACACAGGAAGGTCCTGGCAGTTAGCTGACCAGCTGGCCTGTCAGAAATGGTGAGTTTCAGGTGTAGATAGACTCTTTTAAGATTGAGAGTGATATAGCAAGACACGCTTCATCCTTCTCTAGCATCTGCATGCATGCATATGTGCATGTACACCCCTCCTCCAGCATACCACCACCAACTCCATCACCACCACCACCACCACCACCACCACCACCACCACCACCACCACCTCTTCCTCCTCCTCCACCACCACCATCACCACCCTCACCATTAACACCATCACCACCCACAAAACCAAACCAAACAACAACAAAAACACCCAACAACATATAAAACTGGTCATGTGCCACAAACTAGTAAGGTTTCTCAAGTAATAAAAAAAATCAGTTAATGAATTCATCAAGTAGTATGCAATGAAGGAAAAAAATCAGACTATTACCTCAAAACTGATATAGAAAAACAGGCAAAATTGAACCCTCCTTCATGAAAATCTCCTGGTCATCTAACAACAGCAGGCACCTTTTGTCAATTCCATTATAACTACTAGTGGAAGACAATGCTTTCTCTCTCAGAACAAGAGTAAGCCAAAGGTACCCTTTTTTACCACTTGTATTTAATATTATTTTGCTTTAAACCAGTGCCATAAGGCAAGAGATATAAATTCAATGCATCAAAATTAAAGCAGAATAAGCATAGTTTTCATATGAGGTCAGTTATGTACATAATAAACCCAAAAATGGGTAGAAAATTTGCTAGAATTAGTACAAAATTCAGTAAGTTTATAAAACACAAGACTAATAAATACAATCAATTATATTTCTAAACATGAGCAACAAATAGCCTGAAATTAAGACAACTTATTAAATATTATTAAATTTCATTACAATTGTAATGATTTTACAAATATTTGAATATCTCTGAATATTTTACAAAATTTTGCCAAGACAAATGAAAGGGGACATGAAGAAGTGGATATGTACACTATATGTATGGTTGGAAGACTTATTCAGACATCAGTCTTTGGAAGTTAATGAGACAGATCAATGGGTAAAGACATGTGGTGCTAATCCTTGCTGCCTGAGTTCAATTCCTGAGATCTATAAAGTCAGAGGAGAGAACCCACTTCCACAAGTTTTCTTCCAACGTCCACATATGCACTCACACAAAACAAATAAATGTTGAAAATATTGTAACGAGAAAATATGTCTTTTTTCTAGGTTAGTGTATAAACTCAGCTTCAATTGAAATGGCACAAGCTTTTAAAAATCAGATTTGAAAATCCAAATTAAAATGTACATGGCAATACCTAGGACTACGAAGACTTTTGAATAGAAAAAAAGTAGGATATCCAGGCTTACCATAAATCTACACTGATCTGGACTACAAGGCTGTGAGATATTAGCATACATATAAATCACTGGAATGGAATGGGAAATACAGAAGTAAATCCATAGAAATACAGCAAAGCATTTCCATGTAACAGGGGCAAGGCATTTTAATGTGGAAATTGTACTTTACAAATTTTATATTGGATATTTGCCTTTTGTTTGTGAAGCTGTCACAGTTCTTTCTGGACAGTAGGTGTATCAGTGACTCACAAATATTTTTTATTGACCGATGGCTGTTTTCCTTTTTTTCATTGTGACTTTTGAGGCATGAACATTTATTCATTTCAGAAAGTTCTATTTATTTCTTCTTTGGTTGCATTTGTCTTAAGTGTCATATCTAAGAAATGATTGTCCTAGATGGAGCGTCATGTGTACATCAAGTCATCCCTAGACTAAATGATAGACAGACTAATCTCCCTCACTGAATCGTCATGGCAACCCTTCTGACATCAGTTCATAAAAGAAGGGCTTTGTCTCCACACTGTCAGTTCTGCCCCATTGATCTACACTTTGCTCTCATAGTACAGTCTTTTAGTTTATCTCACTTCCAACCTTGCTATTTATGTGTATGTGTGTATTTGTGTGTATGAATTCCACATGAGTGGAGGTGCCTCAGGAGGCTGGAAGAGGGCATGGAATCCTCTGGAGCTGGTGTTGCAAAGGTTGTGATGCCACCAGATGAGCATGCTGGAAACTGAGCCTAGATCTTCTGGAAGAGCAGGGAGTGCTCCCGGGAGATCTCTCCAGCTCCATGTAGTGTAACCCCAATGACTATAGTCTTTGATTTATAGAAAATCTTTTAAATTGGGAGAAGTTAGTCCTTGGACTTCATTCTTTTTTAAGTTTTATTTGTTAACTTTCTTTAAACAAAAATATCACTGACTGTGTAAACTTCAGTTCATTCAGAAAATAGCACATCTACACACATAGCGTTGGACTTTCAGAATCAATGTAGAAAACTAATACAACTGAGAAGAGAGGCAAATCCACAAAGTGTGCTTTATTGGACATTTCACTTATTCTATCTCAATAACTGGTGAAACAATGGAAATAAATTGTTATAGATATAGAAGAAAAAGAAAATGAAATGTTAAAGAATGGAAAAGAAGCTACAGTATTGGTATGTAAGTGGCTACAGTTTTTTTTTAAACTAAACTTTCCTATTGCTTATAAACCATCTCATTTTAAAGTGGCAGAATAAACTTTAAACACTCCAAATGTTTATGGAGATTTGCTGAGATAGGATGTTTTCTAATATTTAAGACAAAGTTAAACTAGTTTTACAATGATTAAAATGTCACAAAGTACATTCTATTATCACAACAGAATTAAGTTACAAACCAGTGAGAAAAAGATATGCAGAAAACATCCTAGTGTTTGAAATCCAGATACTATACTTGTAAATAACTTGTGAGTCAAAGGAAAAATCTCAAGGAAAATTTAGTTTGGATCGAATAAAAAACATATCAAACCCTCTGTGTAGCTGAAGCAGGGCTTAAAGAAACACACTACATTGACTTTTTATATGAAACTAGAGGAATGAGGCAAAATTTGTGCTCCTTCTTTTCATCTTTAAAGGCTAGATAATGATATTAAAGCCAATGTAGATAGACCCACTCCAATTTTTGTATGTATTAAATGTTTGTTACTTTTTATTTCTAAGTAATACTCTACTCCACAGAACAAAACTATTTTGTATTTTCTAATTGGATTATTTTTCTTATGGTTATATTTTGAGAGTATTAAAGATTTTCCCTAAAGATCTAATGTAATAACTCTCTAAATTTCCACTCAAATTACAGAATCATACAAAGGTAGAAGGAACTCTGGTTCAGGAGGAAGAAGAAGAGGAGGAGGGGGAGGAGGAGGAGAAGGAGGAAGAAAAAGAAGAAGAAGAAGAAGAAGAAGAAGAAGAAGAAGAAGAAGAAGAAGAAGAAGAAGAAGAAGAAGAAGAAGAAAGGATAATTTTTCTATTGCATCCACCATGACTTCAGTCATGCAGTTATGAGGATGGTGATATATTTTATTTTTAGATGTTGAAATCTTTATTAGAAAAGAAGCACAATGTGGCAGCATGTAGGAAATATCTATTTATTTGGGCTTTTGAGCACTTACCATATGCTCTGGTGCTGGTACTGATAGGCCTTTATTGGTTTATTAATACTGAGATTTTAACTTTGAGAACAGAAGGCAAGTTGATTAAATTTAAACTATTAAAGTGAAGATTGTCGGGAATATTTCCAGAGGCAAGAGTGAACTGAGTGCATTTTCCCGGACATGATTCCGACCGCACAGCTTCTTTTATGAAACATCAGCAGTTCCAGCTATTTCACATTGCACCCTGTGAAGCAGAAATTATTTGTTACTTATCCTCAGCTCCTAGTTTGGGGGCAGCCATAGACAACACTTTCCCAGAGGAGACTGAACTGGGAAAGGAGGAGTAAGCTATGGGGCTTTGGATTCTGAGCTCTGAGATCTCACAGATCTCTGAGAAATCGGAAGGCCCTGAGTAAATTTGTATTTGAAGGTGGAAGAGTCTGGGAATCCTTGTGAGTGATACAATGGGATGTGTGTGTAAACAAGGAGCTGAAATGTCAGGTCTGGCTAGTGAAGGGAAGGGTTTTCAAGTCTCTTTAGGAACGAATGATGTTGGGTAGAAAATCCATTTCCACAGTCTGCATCCAGTGAACATTTAACATATGGAGAAGAAACAATATATAGCAGATGATACTATAGTGAATCAGGGGGAAGGGGGCTTTGGACAAGGTGTTGTGGTTCTTTATAAAAGAATGAGAGGTTCTTACATGGTTATAAGGACTCTGATGAAAGGATGGATTGAAGGCCATGGAAGAATTGGTCATTAACTGACAGTGCAGAGAAATTAGCTCCTGAAATAGAGGTCAGGCTGTGCATTTCTTTATATCCACCTTTGTGACTAGCAGTCCTGAAATACCCAGTGAGCAGAAGAGAGAATGAGAGTGGGGAGCCAGAGAGGAAGGGGAGGGGGTGGAGACCCTGGTTGGGGGAAAGACTGCCCTAAGCAAGATAAAAGAGGTAGGAATGTCGGCCCTCAATATTCTTTCCTTTATCTGCAAGGCCAGAGCTCAGGGGTTGCCTCCTATGATTTAAGAGAACATGGCAGTGACAAGGGGAGATGTCAAGACCTACCCTTTGAGTAAGAAACAAAGACCCGCAAATCTGGGATACAGTGAGTTATTAGCTGTATCCATCTACATTCTGGTTGTTTTCTGAGATGAATGCTTTCAAATGATTCTGGATCTTCTCATTACTGGAATGTAGGCCCCTGAAGGTTGGCATGCAGGCAGTAATGGTTCCTTTTAATAATTAACTACCATTGATTTGTCAGCCAAAGGTCATCCCTTCCTACATTTGAGAACCTCAAACTCTTGGCACCTGAGAACAGAAGTGAAAAATCATTCACAAATTATTGATACACTATACGCCCCTGCATGTCTCACCCTGTGTATGTAGACACTGCAAGATCTGAGCTTAATGATAGACGCTCCCACTCACTGCTAAGACCCTCATCACCTTTCCCTGTTGCTTCACCATCTACACCTGCAGGGGTTCTGGTCTCGTAGTCTGTGGAGACAGTGGGCTACCTTGCAGTAGAAGAAAGTGGAAAGAAACTGTTAATAAAATGATTCTATGTTTTCCTTCCTTGACATTTTTTGGGTGTACATGTATTTTTTTCTGCTTTTCTCTTTCTTAAACACTCCCAGAAAGAGGTTTTGTTCCCTAGAGAATACACTGATTACTAGGTGAAGTAGGTTCTACAGCTGGAGAAACCTCTGCAGAAATGTAATTTGCTGTTGCGCTGTACCTGACTTCTTACTCATCTAGTGCAAGGACATGGAACTGACCTCATTAGGCCCAGAACTGGGGAATGCAGTTTGTATAATGGGGTTGAAACACTGGTTCCCAAACCATTGACGCTTTATCTACCCTGGTGCTTGTCGGTGTTTGCTTTAGAAACCTTCCTTAGGACATGCTGGCCTCTAAGCCTATGGAAAGGCCTAGTAAGGAACCAGTACAGCAGGCTAGCTTGTGGTGGCCTATCCCAGCCTGTCCTGGGAAAGGAGTGGGGGCACCTATGGAAATGAGTTCCATAAGAATACTTGTATTTTTTCCTTTTTTTAAATTGAAAGTTTTTTCATCAGCATACACAATAACAGGCTTCATTATAACAACGTCACACATGTATATCATTGTCCTTGCTCATGCGCCCCCCCCCCATTATCTTCCATTATCTCCCCTCTTCCTTCCCACTGGTCCCTTTCCTCCTCAGAATTAGTTCCTTTTTACTTTTATAAAGCCAGCTCTTTGTAAAAGTAATTAACTATCTACAGTTCTGTATCTTACATGTATCTAAGGTAATCTCCAGCCCTGGTATTTTTAAATCGTACAATAGAGCTCACCTCTGAACTCTAGAGTAAAGTGTTTTAATGTCACCAAGCCTTGTCCAAGTACCAAGAAACAAATGTGACCGGCATTTGAATTGCATTGTTATCAGGATCTTGTCCTTCTGTTTCTGGAGCTTCTTTTGTGTCGATTGTGTTTCAAGTTGCCTGTTACATTCAGTTAATTTTTAAATGCCTTGTTGAGCCTGTGAAATGACTGCCCCCCCCCCACACAGAGGGCTTTTGTGTACAGTTATTAAGCTCTCCATTAATCAGCTCTTTATTACCCCAAGGAGCAGAGAATTAGGGAATAAGCCAAAATAAATTTTGTACATGCAAAATGATACCGCAAAAATAAATCTATGCTCTACAATGCATTGCGGTGTTCTCTTCTGAGGTTGGAATGATATGCGTTTCATCATTATGAATGGATGCTGGATTTCTGTATCTGTTGAGATGATGAGACAGTTTACCTTTCGTTTATGTAATTGTGGTGAATTAAGTTGATTGATTTTAAAGTGTTAACCCCAATTTTTTTATTCCTGGAATAAATGCGATGTAATCGTGATGCATTACCCAGCTTCCATATTGCTGCAGTCCTTGTCAGTATCTGCTGTTAGGTGATGCTCTGAAGAAATAAATCAGGAAAAATTGCTATGTTTTTATTCTCTGAAGAAATTTTAAAGATGAGATTAGTGTTTTAATATTGATTATCTGTTCAGATATTTCCTTTGTAGAAAGATTTTTAACACATAATACTTTCTCTGTTACCCATATGATGTACATTATAGACTGGAGTCGGGGCGGGGGGTGCATACTGAAACCATAAATAGTTCCCAAGTCTGTCCTTTTCCTCTATCATATAATACTTACTACATTGGTTAACTTATAAATTAGGCACCGTAAGAGATTAACAAGAATAACTGATTATAAAATAGTACAATTATAATATACTATAAAACAGTCACCTGAATGTAGTCTTTCTATCAAAATATTATATTACCATTTCAGTTTAAAGAAAGTACCTTCTGGATTCTTTGGGGGGAGCATATCTTGCTTTGGAGCCATTATTAAGTAAGATAAGAGATGCATGAACATAAGCCTCGAAATATCCCAGCAATTCTTCTGAGGGCTACTAGGTGACTCTTGAGGGGATAGCATATACAGTGTGGATATGCTGTATAAAGGATGAGTAGGATTGGGTAGGAAAGTGAGGGATTACAGCACTCTACTCAGAATGGTGCTGAGTTTAAAACATGTGAATTGTTTCTCGCTGAAACTTCTCATCCAGTGTTTTGAACGTGGGTGAGGGCAACCACCGAAAGTGAAAGTACAGAGGTAGGGGAAGGCTACTGAAAGCATTTGCTCACTTTAGTATCAGATGACTCAGATTCTTGGTTTTTTGCTAAGTTTTGTGAGTTCTGTGTTTTAGGTTTAAATCTTAAAGTACTGATGCAAAATTACCCAAGTATCTTATGATTTTTCATCTCTCTAAGATTCCAGGGCTGGCAAGATAACACAGCAGGTCAAGGTGTTTGCTGTGCAAGCCTGGAGTCCTGAGTTTGATCACTGAAGCTTATGTAAGGCAGAAGGAAAGAACCAGCCCCACAAAGTGGTTCTCTGACATCCACATGTATTTTCTGATCCATGAGCCTCCCCTGTAACATTCATGAACAATCCTCTTATCATGTATGCATAACCTCCCCTTTCATTCATGCACATACAAACACCCCTATCATGCATGCATATGTGAACACACATATACATTAAAAAAATTAAAGATTTACATGTTTCTTGTGTTTTATATTTATTTTTATCATTCCTTTGGGTTTCTATTGCTGTTTTCTATTTGTTGATTTATAGGTAACTTATCGGATCTAATTTATAAATCCACAATTAACTGATTTTAGTTTACTTTCCTAACATATGCATCTAAGGCTTTAAATTTTCTTATAATCGCAGCTGAACTATATGTGATGACTTTTATATGCCCTATGTTTATGGCCATTCAAATAAGCAACTCTCCAATTTCCATTGAGATTTTTTTTTTCTTTTCATTGAGTTTCAAGAAGTATATTTCTAGAGGCTGGAAAGGTGTTTCAGCAGTTATGACCACTTATTCTCTTTCAGAAGACCTGAGATTGGTTCCCAGAACTCACATTGGGTGGCTCACAAACACCTGTAACCCCAGCTGCAGGGCATCTGACATTCTCTTCAGGTCTCCACTGGCACGGTACTCATAAGCACATACCTACACATAGTCACACATACACACGCACACATAATTAACAATAAAATAAAAAAAATCTAAAAATAAAGTTTGTTATTTACACCAAAAGCCAATGAAAATGTCTCATCCAAGCCCAGAATGACCACATCAGCTTCTTTTCTCTCTTGCTTTTCATTGGTAATCAAATGAACCCCCT